ATGTACCAATGTAAACCCTATCCATGTACCAATGTAAACCTAATCCATGTATCACTGCAAACCCTATCCATGTACCAATGTAAACCCTATCCATGTATCAATGTAAACCCTATCCATGTACCAATGTAAACCCTATCCATGTATCAATGTAAACCTAATCCATGTATCACTGCAAACCCTATCCATGTACCAATGTAAACCCTATCCATGTATCAATGTAAACCCTATCCATGTACCAATGTAAACCCTATCCATGTACCAATGCAAACCCTATCCATGTATCACTGCAAACCCTATCCATGTACCAATGTAAACCCTATCCATGTACCAATGTAAAATCATATCCATGTACCAATGTAAACCCTATCCATGTACCAATGTAAACCCTATCCATGTATCAATGTAAACCCTATCCATGTATCAATGTAAACCCTTTCCATGTACCAATGTAAACCCTTTCCATGTACCAATGTAAACCCTATCCATGTACCAATGTAAACCCTATCCATGTACCAATGTAAACCCTATCCATGTACCAATGTAAACCCTATCCATGTACCAATGTAAACCCTATCCATGTACCAATGTAAACCCTATCCATGTATCAATGTAAACCCTATCCATGTACCAATGTAAACCCTATCCATGTACCAATGTAAACCCTATCCATGTATCATTGCAAACCCTATTCATGTATCATTGCAAACCCATCCCCCTAAGGAAGCCACGTGACCCTCTGGTGTAACATGTAGGGGAGGGGCTTTGTGACGTCACGACGCTCGCAGCTAGTAGACGGACTTGGGAATATGGAACAGTACGCTGTAACAATTATACAGTACCGAGTGAATGTAGATAAGCAGGCTATTTTTTGGTGTGATGTAGCACCTGCAATATGTGAATGGCTAATTTTACATTTTATTAAATAAAAAAAGCATTTTTTAAGGATAAAGCACTATTTCTTGCCTATTCATTTTTATGCTGAGCGGTGGAGTATGGAGGAGAAGGATCTATAAGGAGGAGGTGAATGACCATTGAGAAAGGGTTCCCACTCAAGAAGCTCTATTGATAAGTCCCAATTAAAGGGACACAGGTGCTATTTATTTATTTATTTCAGGTACTTTTATAGCTCCGTCAATTTACGCAGCGCTTTACATATATATTGTACATTCACATCAGTCCCTAACCCTCAAGGGGTGTACAATCTAAGGTCCCTAACTCACATTCATACGCTAGGGTCAATTTAGACAGGAGCCAATTAACCTACCAGCATGTCTATGGAGTGTGGGAGGAAACCGGAGTACCTGGAGGAAACACATGCAGGCACAGGGAGAACATGCAAACTCCAGGCAGGTGGTGCCATGGCTGGGATTCGAATCGATGACCCTAGTACTGCCAGGCAGAAGTGCTAACCATTTAGCCACTGTGCTGCCCAGCTATTTGATGAAACATTTTTAGTTGAGGTCATAGTCTCCGGGTGAGGGCACATCTGAGGTCATAGTCTCTGGGTGAGGGCACATCTGAGGTCATAGTCTCTGGGTGAGGGAACATCTGAGGTCATAGTCTCTGGGTGAGGGCACATCTGAGGTCATAGTCTCTGGGTGAGGGCACATCCGAGGTCATAGTCTCTGGGTGAGGGAACATCTGAGGTCATAGTCTCTGGGTGAGGGCACATCTGAGGTCATAGTCTCTGGGTGAGGGAACATCTGGGGTCATAGTCTCTGGGTGAGGGCACATCTGAGGTCATAGTCTCTGGGTGAGGGCACATCTGGGGTCATAGTCTCTGGGTGAGGGCACATCTGAGGTCATAGTCTCTGGGTGAGGGCACATCTGGGGTCATAGTCTCTGGGTGAGGGCACATCTGAGGTCATAGTCTCCGGGTGAGGGCACATCTGAGGTCATAGTCTCCGGGGGTGAGGGCACATCTGAGGTCATAGTCTCCGGGTGAGGGCACATCTGAGGTCATAGTCTCTGGGTGGGGGCACATCTGAGGTCATAGTCTCTGGGTGAGGGCACATCTGAGGTCATAGTCTCTGGGTGAGGGCACATCTGAGGTCATAGTCTCTGGGTGAGGGAACATCTGAGGTCATAGTCTCTGGGTGAGGGCACATCTGGGGTCATAGTCTCTGGGTGAGGGCACATCTGAGGTCATAGTCTCTGGGTGAGGGAACATCTGAGGTCATAGACTCTGGGTGAGGGAACATCTGAGGTCATAGTCTCTGGGTGAGGGCACATCTGAGGTCATAGTCTCTGGGTGAGGGCACATCTGGGGTCATAGTCTCTGGGTGAGGGCACATCTGAGGTCATAGTCTCTGGGTGAGGGCACATCGGGGGTGTTGGTGGAGGCGCACAATTGTTCTGATATAAAGGCACAGAATAATGTTGAATATATCCACAGTGATTGAATTAATTTATTGAAGACCCATATATATGAAACAATTGGTGATTTGGGACTTGAGATTCTTTATTATATGGATGGAATTATATAATTGGATGATTTTTTTATTAATATTTGTTTATGATTTTTTTGAATCTTGCGTATCACATTTGGAGTTTAGTCATTGGTTGCACAGAAAGAAAAGCGCGGCACTGTTATAATTTACAGTTTGGATGCAACACGTTTATATGAGTATGTGTAGGTGTGGGCAGCTTTTCATTTCAAGTATTGCCGTAGAATTTCTATTTATTTTAGAAGCGGCTCGCAAGATTTTTGTTTTATTTTGACACTGTAAACCCTGCAATAAAAAAAAAATGTGGTCCCTGGCGGTTTCAATCATAATGCACCGCATACTAGCACATTATAACAGACTTGCCTGAAAACAAACAGCAACACCCTGCCACTGCTGTTGGCGTTCCATCTTCACCTGGTCTTCCTTTCGGGTTCGCACTCTTTTGAATAGCCAGGCCGCGATGACGTCATGTGAGATTGAGATTCTTTATTATACGGGTGGAGTTTATATAACTCGATGAATTTTTATTAATAATTATGATTTTTTTTTAATATTGCCTATTACATTTGGAGTTTAGTCATTGGATGCACAAAAAGAAAAGCGTGACACTGTTTTAACCACTTCAAGTCCGGACACTTTCACCCCCTTCCTGTCCAGGCCAATTTTCAGCTTTCAGCGCTATCACACTTCCAGTCCGGACACTTTCACCCCCTTCCAGTCCGGACACTTTCCCCCCCTTCCAGTCCGGACACTTTCCCCCCCTTCCAGTCCGGACACTTTCCCCCCCTTCCAGTCCGGACACTTTCACCCCCTTCCTGTCCGGACACTTTCACCCCCTTCCTGTCCGGACACTTTCACCCCCTTCCTGTCCGGACACTTTCACCCCCTTCCTGTCCAGGCCAATTTTCAGCTTTCAGCGCTATCACACTTTGAATGACAATTGCGCGGTCATGCAACACTGTACCCATATGAATTTTTTTGCATTTTTTTGAGACAGATAAAAGTTTATTTTTGTGGTATTTATTCACCACTGGGATTTTTATTTTTTTTGCTATATAAAGGAAAAAGTCCAAAAATTTTGAAAAAAAGTGTTTTTCTTATAAAATTTTGCAAATAAATAATCTTTCTTAATATATCTTGACCAAAATGTCTTCAGTTATCTTTTTAGTAAAAAAAAATAACCCAAATGAGTTTATAACCTAAAATTATTCATTTTTTTTTTTTTTTTTACATGCTTTCACCCTAGCAGTACAGTGTCACCATAGTGACACTGTACTGCCTGTGGGGGGTGATGATGATTTAATTTTTTTTTTTTACACTGATTACTTTTACAGCCATAAAGGCTGTAAAATCAATCATTTCGTGTTCTCTGTGGCTGCATTCTTGCAGCCATTGAGAAATACTATATGAATTTTTTAGCATTTTATTGAGCCAGATAAAACTTTATTTTGGTGGTATTTATTCACCACTGGGATTTTTATTTTTTTTTTTTGCTATATAAATGAAAAAGTCCAAAAACCTTGAAAAAAGTGTTTTTTATTTTTGCAAATAAATAATCTTTCATAAAAAATCTTGGCCAAAATGTATTCAGTTATCTTTTTAGTAAAAAAAAATAACCCAAATGAGTTTATAACCAAAAATTATAATTTTAAAAAATAAATTTCTTTACATTTTTATTTTTTTTTTTTATATTATTATTAATGTTTTTTTTTTCACATGCTGTCACCCTAGAAGTACACTGTCACCATGGTGACACTGTACTACTTGTGGGGGGTGATGAAGATTTAATTTTTTTTTTTTTTTTACACTGATTGCTTTTACACCCATAAAGGCTGTAAATGCAATCATTTCTCCTTCTCTCTGGCTGCATTCCTGCAGCCATTGAGAAATACTGTGAGAGCTGGGATTTGTCACAGCTTGTCATATGGTACAAGGCTGTTGTGAATAGCCCTGTACCGTGTGATCTCTGTGATCATTCACAGATTTCACACGTAGTAAGCAATGATGTTAGGAAGTGACATCTTGTTTACTACTGTTCATGTGATCACTGATTGGCCAATCCGCGATGACTTCACATGTGCGGGAGTCACGGTCATGGCGCAACGCTCTCAATGGATGGCATACTCAGTGTGCTGTCAATTCTGATTGCAGTGCGCATGTGTTGGTGACATTACCAACCGCTACAAATGTGAGTATCTCCTAAATGGTAAATATTTAGGAGATATTCACTGTACCTACAGGTAGATCGTATTGTAGGCTTACCTGTAGGTACACGTCATAGAGCAGAGTTTACTACTGCTTTAGGTCCACCTCCACCCCGTAGGTACATGAGTAGATGGTGCACATGCATGATTTAGTAGTTAGCATTTGAATACATTTTACAGTATGTTGGTAAATGTCGCTTGTGGTCGAAGGGACTCACCATTGGTTTTCCATGATGTGCTGAGAGGCTCCAAACTGTCTTGTTAGTATATCCATCCATATCCATCCACGGTACACTGCAAAGTTTCTTGCTCCATCTTTAAAATTACGGACAGTCTTGAGGCACCCTTTAAAATTACGGACAGTCTTGAGGCACCCTTTACAATTACGGACAGTCTTGAGGCACCCTTTAAAATTATGGACAGTCTTGAGGCACCCTTTAAAATTATGGACAGTCTTGAGGCACCCTTTAAAATTATGGACAGTCTTGAGGCGCCCTTTAAAATTATGGACAGTCTTGAGGCACCCTTTAAAATTACGGACAGTCCTGAGGCACCCTTTAAAATTACGGACAGTCCAGAGGCACACTTTAAAATTATGGACAGTCTTGAGGCACCCTTTAAAATTATGGATAGTCTTGAGGCACCCTTTAAAATTACGGACAGTCTTGAGGCGCCCTTTAAAATTATGGACAGTCTTGAGGCACCCTTTAAAATTACGGACAGTCCTGAGGCACCCTTTAAAATTACGGACAGTCTTGAGGCACCCTTTAAAATTGCGGACAGTCCAGAGGCACACTTTAAAATTATGGACAGTCTTGAGGCACCCTTTAAAATTATGGACAGTCCTGAGGCACCCTTTAAAATTATGGACAGTCCTGAGGTACCCTTTAAAATTATGGACAGTCCTGAAGCACCCTTTAAAATTATGGACAGTCCTGAGGGACCCTTTAAAATTGCGGACAGTCCTGAGGCACCCTTTAAAATTACGGACAGTCTTGAGGCACCCTTTAAAATTACGGACAGTCTTGAGGCACCCTTTAAAATTACGGACAGTCGTGAGGCAACCTTTAAAATTACGGACAGTCCTGAGGCACCCTTTAAAATTACGGACAGTCCTGAGGCACCCTTTAAAATTACGGACAGTCCTGAGGCACCCTTTAAAATTACGGACAGTCCTGAGGCACCCTTTAAAATTATGGACAGTCCTGAGGCACCCTTTAAAATTATATGAGGGACAGTCCTGAGGCACCCTTTAAAATTTGCGGACAGTCCTGAGGCACCCTTTAAAATTATGGACAGTCTTGAGGCACCCTTTAAAATTATGGACAGTCTTGAGGCACCCTTTAAAATTACGGACAGTCTTGAGGCACCCTTTAAAATTACGGACAGTCTTGAGGCACCCTTTAAAATTACGGACAGTCCCGAGGCACCCTTTAAAATTATGGACAGTCCCAAGGCACCCTTTAAAATTATGGACAGTCTTGAGCACCCTTTAAAATTATGAACAGTCTTGAGGCACCCCATTCCAAAATGTGAAAAACTATTCTAAATAGTTTTATATAACGCAGCAACTTCCACACATGTAGGACACCCAACATAAAAGCTGATTTATTCTTCCAAAGCAAACACACTTTTGCACACTGCTACTGACTAGTATTCCATTGTTTCTCTTCTCCCTCAGTTTTTCTCCATCACTGAGCCAATGTGACCCCAGCACTGACAGAGAGGGGCGGGGGAGGGTCAAACTAGGATGTTCTGCAGGCAGCTGACATCCTCCTTATCAACGGATGATGTCATTGGTTGTCAGGACGCCGGCGGCTAGAAGGTCATAATGGTGCACAATGAAGAATGGCTTTGTGTAACTAAAAGACAAGCTTCTTCCACCCGCTGGCTTGTATACAAGTTTTGGACAATTTTTAGACATTTTGCCAAGGCACCCCTGAAGAAACCTCAAGGCATCCCAGGGTATGGTTCAGGAGGGGGGGTGCTCGCTTGTCCCCGCTTTTCCTGACTGGCCGGGCTGCATGCTTGGATAAGGTTCTGGTATGGATTTTGGAGGGGGGGGGGGACCCTACACCATTTTTTTTTTTTATATTGTGGCGTGGGAGTTCTCAAAATCCATACCAGACCTGAAAGGCCTGGCATGGGTTGGGGGGGAGCTGGGGGGTCACGCCAGGCCTTTCAGGTCTGGTATGGATTTTGAGAACTCCACGCCACAATATAAAAAAAAAATGGTGTAGGGTCACCATTTTTTTCCCTAATTTTTTTAATTGCCAGCAATTCTTTTTTCTACACTCAGCTGTCAGCGGGGAAAGCCCGCTCCTTAGCAACCAGTACATACCGCATGCCTCGACCACTACTTAATTACCACATGCGGTTAATTATTTATTTCCTTCTTTGTATTGACTTTAACGTCTTTTTATACGGTATTTACCGAGCGTTATTACTTGTTGCGGTAAATAGTGAATTGACATTTTCAGTATCGCATGCGGTATGTGGTCACGTGGGGTATGTGGTCACGTGTGGTATGTGGTCACGTGGGGTATTTGTTGGACACCATGAACACCATGTATAAATACATAAAGGGAGGTAATGAACACCATGTTTAATACATAAGGGATGATATGCTCACCATGTAAGGAGGTAAAAGATTTCTATGCATAATACATTTTTCTGCACTCCAGTTCCTATGCTTTTGTACTCTCAAGCCATGTGTTTAGGAACCGCGGAGGATTCACGCCCATGTGCACACATGCTGTGGGTCTCTGCAAGGCCCCAGATATCAGGAACCAGTGTCATGTGTACGTATATATGCATAGAAATCACCCTCCAGTGCGCAAACATGCCACTGGGCAATGTTCCAAATACTTGCTATGCACCTGAGGCACATCTGCGCATGCGTGGAATATTTAACCACCTCCCATCCAGCTGTTGTATATAAACGGCCGGACGGTGGCAGTGCAGGGTCGGGTGGCCGTTTATAAATGGCCTCCCTGCCCCCTGCTTGTGCGCGCTCCCTGGGAGCGTGCAGCACCGCGATCCGGTGCCCGCTGTGTCCTCCGGACACAGTGGAACACCGATCGTCGTACGGGACCTCTGTGTGAGGTCCCGATCATGTGATCACTGATTGGCCAAACCGTGATCACATGCAAAGTAGTAAGCAAGATGTCACTTCTGACATCATTGCTTACTACGTGTGAAATCTGTGAATGATTACAGAGATCACATGGTACAGGGCTATTCATAACAGCCTTGTACCATGTGACAAGCTGTGACCAATCACAGCTCACACAGTAGTTCTCAATGGCTGCAGGAATGCAGCTAGAGAGAAGAGAAATGATTGCTTTTACAGCCTTTATGGTTGTAAAAGCAATCAGTGTAAAAAAAATAAAAATCTTCATCAACCCCCACAAGTAGTACCGTGTCACCATGGTGACACTGTACTGCTAGGGGGACAGTACGTAAAAAAAAACAAAAACACAACATAACTAATAACAAAAAAATAAAATAAAAATGTAAAAAAAAAATGTTTAAAAATTAGAATTGTTGGTTATAAACTAGTTTAGGTTATTTTTTTTTACTAAAAAGATAACGGAATAAAATTTGGCCAAGATTTATGATGAAATATTAATATTTATTTGCCAAATTTTAAAAAACACTTTTTTTCTAAATTTTTGGACTTTTTCATTTACATAGCAAAAAAAAAAAAAAAAAAACCCAGTGGTGAATAAATACCACCAAAATAAAGCTTTATCTGTCTCAAAAAAATGCTAAAAAATGCATATGGGTACAGTGTTGCATGACCGCGCAATTGTCATTCAAAGTTTGATAGTGCTGAAAGCTGAAAACTGGCCTGGACAGGAAGGGGGTGAAAGTGTCCGGACAGGAAGGGGGTGAAAGTGAAAGTGTCCGGACTGGAAGGGGGTGAAAGTGTCCGGACTGGAAGGGGGGGAAAGTGTCCGGACTGGAAGGGGGTGGGAAAGTGTCCGGACTGGAAGGGAGGGAAAGTGTCTGGACTGGAAGGGAGGGAAAGTGTCCGGACTGGAAGGGGGGTGAAAGTGTCCGGACTGGAAGGGGGTGAAAGTGTCCGGACTGGAAGGGGGTGAAAGTGTCCGGACTGGAAGGGGGTGAAAGTGTCTTGACTGGAAGGGGGGAAAGTGTCCGGACTGGAAGGGGGTGAAAGTGTCCGGACTGGAAGGGGGTGAAAGTGTCTGGACTGGAAGGGGGTGAAAGTGTCTGGACTGGAAGGGGGGTGAAAGTGTCTGGACTGGAAGGGGGGGAAAGTGTCCGGACTGGAAGGGGGTGAAAGTGTCCGGACTGGAAGGGAGGGAAAGTGTCCGGACTGGAAGGGGGTAAAAGTGTCCGGACTGGAAGGGGGTAAAAGTGTCCGGACTGGAAGGGGGTAAAAGTGTCCGGACTGGAAGGGGGTGAAAGTGTCTGGACTGGAAGGGGGTAAAAGTGTCCGGACTGGAAGGGGGTGAAAGTGTCCGGACTGGAAGGGGGGTGAAAGTGTCCGGACTGGAAGGGGGTGAAAGTGTCCGGACTGGAAGGGGGTGAAAGTGTCCGGACTGGAAGGGGGTGAAAGTGTCCGGACTGGAAGGGGTGAAAGTGTCCGGACTGGAAGGGGGTGAAAGTGTCCGGACTGGAAGGGGGTGAAAGTGTCCGGACTGGAAGGGGGTGAAAGTGTCCGGCCTGGAAGGGGGTGAAAGTGTCCGGCCTGGAAGGGGGTGAAAGTGTCCGGACTGGAAGGGGGGGAAAGTGTCCGGACTGGAAGGGGGGGAAAGTGTCCGGACTGGAAGGGGGGGAAAGTGTCCGGACTGGAAGGGGGGGAAAGTGTCTGGACTGGAAGGGGGGGAAAGTGTCCGGACTGGAAGGGGGGGGAAAGTGTCTGGACTGGAAGGGGGTGAAAGTGTCCGGACTGGAAGTGGTTTAAAGAGCAAAAGGGATGTCAGGAGGAGAATTTTTCGGGGGTGCTGTTGTTCTATAAAAAAAATGCAACTTGGATATCCATCTCTCCTTGATTTGTGATTGGACAGAAGACTGAAATTTTGTCTTATTGGTTACATTGAAGTAACTCAGACACGTCATTGCAGTTCATCCGCCGAGCCTCGGTTCTATCACGCCAGAGCTGCTCCAGGTTTAATGACGGCTGCACTTTCCATGCAGGCTCAGCGTGTTTGTACTGGAGGTGTTGGCTTTCATGTGGGAGACACATAGATTATTTTGTACATCTGGTTTTCGGGATTATTTTCAGGTGAAGTAAACACGGGAGAGTTTTGTTTCCTGTATTTTCATGAAAGAAATTAGGTGGCTGATCAGATTATTGGGAGTAATTAATCAAGCCTCTCCGATCGTCCTTATCAACGCAAAGGAGTACTATGTGTTCTCCGGCTCGATGTGTTGTTTGGGTGAATCCTTGCTCTGCTAATGCGTGAGAGCGATATTCATAATTCCACGCTTTTGTTATCTATTCATTTAATAATGGTTTCAGGTTGAGGTTCTGTAGACAATATGGAATTGTGGGTGAAGGATATTTGTACTTTTAGAATATAGTCAGGTCAAAGGAAAGACACAAGTCCATTCGTTCAACCAGTAGAAAAAAAAAAATAATAAGAATAAATAAATAGACGACCTCCATATTATTATTATTATACAGGATTTATATATTATCATTATACAGGATTTTATATATTATTATTATTATTTATTATACAGGATTTATATATTATTATTATTATACAGGATTTATATATTATTATTATTAGTATACAGGATTTATATATTATTATTATATATTATTATACAGGATTATATATATTATTATTATACAGGATTTATATATTATTATTATTATTATACAGGATTTTATTATATATTATTATTATACAGGATTTATATATTATTATTATTATTATACAGGATTTATATATTATTATTATTATTATACAGGATTTTATATTATTATTATTATACAGGATTTATATATTTATTATACAGGATTTATATATTATTATTATACAGGATTTATATATTTATTATTATTATACAGGATTTATATATTATTATTATTATTTTATACATTATTTATATTTATATATTATTATTATATTATTATACAGGATTTATATATTATTATTATACAGGATTTATATATTATTATTATATTATTATACAGGATTTATATATTATTATATTATACAGGATTTATATATTATTATTATACAGGATTTATATATTATTATTATAATACAGGAATTTTTTTCTGCTTCTATACGCTGAGCTCTAAACGTCCTAATGTGCATAGACATATAGGATGAGCTGCTTCAACAGGCAAAACATGTTTTTTTAAGTCCACTGTGAATAGACAAAAAAAAAAAACAGATCTAGAGGAAGGCAAAAAAAGGCACACAAAAAAACAGATCTAGAGGAAGGCAAAAAAAAGGCAACAAAAAAAAAAAACAGATCTAGAGGAAGGCAAAAAAAAAAAAAAACAGATCTAGAGGAAGGCAAAAAAAGGCAACAAAAAAAAAAA